TTTTCACTGAAACTTTAGAAAGGGGTAAATAGTGCCAAAAAAGACCGTTTCTTGAAGGCCTTTCCTGAATCTTTCTTTTATGTAGACAAACTTTCACTCTTTGCAGCTCTTGAGATCATGTTTCTGATTCGATTCCCAAAAATGCTCCTCGTAGGACGCTTAACTCCGTACGCGCACGCCTCGCGCTCGGCGCCCGAAAAAGCGAAAAGGCCCACGGTCGTCAACGTGTTTATCGATAGGAACCTTATCCAGTAATCTTCAGGAACGCGCGGTCTCCTTGATCTCGGCCATACTACCGGTGATGACGATGACGATGATGATTATGATGGCCAAGAATCGAGTCGTATTGTTTACACGACCAAGGTTTCTGGGCCAGAGAAACGCTCTCCTCTTCGCAAGGCTTGGGATAACATTTTGGGATACGACGTAAGTCATGTTTTGCCGTTTTGCTGTCATTATCTCATTGGCTGGTTTCAGTTCAAAGCTGGCAAAGTCCCGGGAACGAACTATGAACTTCGTCATGGTTCCACTAGAACACGAGTCGATCGTGATCCAAAAACTGGAAGGATCAGAGTGCAGCAACAGACCATCGGGAGGTGAGGCTGCATGTTTAGATTTATGTTTGATATGTAAAGAGTAAAGCCATTTGAATTCGCAATTGTTATGTAATCCGTTTTCGTCAAGATGAGCCAGTCATTCGGAGGTACTCTACCAATACCGGGGGGGGGGGGAATCAATTCCATATAAGACGTGAGCAGGTTTGGAGCCGTGAAAGTGTGACCCTTTTACCATTCCGATGTACGCGGTGATGAAGCTGAAGTACTGTTATTGCTAGATCTTCTTCATACATCTTCTCGATATTCGATACTATGAAGTGTGCGCGTCATACACTATGGGCATGTTGCCAACCTGTTTTGTGGAAAATTGGGCGACTAAGATCCTATAGCGAAGATGTTGATATGCTGCTGAAGTCGACCTGTAGATAATAAAGTTGTTTCAGCCAAAATTGAGAGGGTGTAAGCAAACAGCGCGTGTGGCTATTATTCGGCTTATGGCTGACCGTGCGACCCCGTCTGCTTCTATATGGGTGGACTGGTGGAAACATGAAAAGTATCGTCCTATCACTAGGCACGTTATCGTTGGAGATTCCCCAACAGGGAGGGGTCTCTGGAGAGAAGGTACCTGCCTTGAGAGATATTTGCGGCGTTGGGAAAATTTTTTCCCAGTTCATGGCTTTCCCCGGTTTTTGCTATGTAAACCCTCCTTCTCCCGCTGGAAAATTTTTTCCCAGTTCATGGCTTTCCCCGGTTTTTGCTATGTAAACCCTCCTTCTCCGCTGGACAGCTCTCCCATCGAAACTAGGGGAGGGAGTCATATCAAGCCACCCTTCAGAGCGGGGTCGTACGGACTCAACTAAAATCCCCACCTAATGACGTGCCCTGTATCAAAACCCTTCGGCTTCAATTCTGCACCCTTTCTACTGAAGCCAGTGATATTCGTCCGCACCTGTGGCCTGCCCACCCGGTGAGTAGAAGAAGTCCAATTCGCAGATTATTGTGATGCCATTAAAAACTGTTTTTGCCTCGTTCTGCCTCGTGGTGCTTCAGCTTAGGATTTGCTCTTATGTGTTGTAGACAACTAGTCTATCTGAATTCGTGAAGCACTTTCCACAGTAGCGTAACAGGGTTTTCGAGTAACATTTATTTTCAGAGACATATCGACCATCCTGATGATCATTCTTAGCGTTTTCTTCGTGATGTTGGCTATTGCCTACCTTGGTACAGCTCGACAAGATTCCCTTGTGGCTACTGCTCATACAATAACCGGTAATTTTTCATTTATTTACGAACATGATGAACAAATAGACTGAACTATGTAATCTTCCTTCCACCATATCACTTTTTCATCCATTATTTCTCTCTTTGTTCTAGAAAAACTGATAAAGAAGATTTCAGCAAACCTTTCGTGTTTAGGTGCCATTTGTGACACTGTCCACTTCTTCTACATGTATGCCGTAGTTCCGAGCTTCGTTGTGTTGGCAGGTAAGAGATTTCCCTACGAAGTTCTGCTTGGTGGAGGCACCAAATGGCATTTAGCGAAGTCTGTAGGTCACCTTGTGAAGAACTGCAAATTCCTGTGAGGCAGCGTGAAGGCCTCGCGATGACGCGCGCCTGCGCGATATAGCGCGCGTCGACCCTTCTTCAGCGCTACAAGGCTGTTGACGCGAACACAGCCACAATGGCATTCGATCGGCGCTGACTGCTTGCGTTTTGAGAGAGCGTGGAATAACAGGAGAGTAGGCGAAGGAGGCCGGAGGCCAGTGTGATCGATATCAGACTGTGTGATTAGGCACCGTTCAGACTTCGCGACGGCAGCGCTTCTGTCGCGAGTTCGACGCGCTCGATGGAGTCGAAAGCATGCCGACAGCATCAATCGCGCCGAACGCGCGAGCGGCTGCCGTCGCGAAGTCTGACTGAGACAAGACTGCTTGGGCAACGCGTACCTCATATACTTTTTGTTCTCTGAGAACAATATCGGACGGCGCCAATCGCTTCCCGTCGGTGGCTGTGTGCGCGTCATTGCGAAATCTAAAAGCTGCTTAACCAAAGTCTCACTTGTTTTGCTTTGCAGCTTTGCAAGAGTCTACAGAACTCGCCCCTGTGAAACTTTCCCTTAGCCTTGAACTAGATTATCGTTGAGATTTATTATCCATTTTCTATTTGGCACTGAATTTCCTCCACCTTTAGCAGCGGCACTCGTTCTTACTGTGTATTTTGGTCATAAATACTGGAAACAACAGAAGGAAAAGGAAGAAGCTGCGTTTTACGATTTAGTGGACAAAATTCTGGGTAAGTGCTGTTATGCTTTATTTGATAAAAATGAGGTGATTATTATTATTTTCAGATATTGTAAGAGAGGCTAATGAGAACGGCGAAGAATACATTTCTATACCACATGTGAGAGATGTAATGTTCCCTCCTGCAAAAAGGTGTGTTAGAGCTTTTGTTTTCTGTACATTTGACAATTAGAGGCACTTTCCACGATAAAATAAGGCTATGACCTCTCAAATGTGTCAGACGATCCGGAAGGCGATTCTGGAGGCTGCGCTACTTTCAAAAAGTGAAAATCGGCAAGAACTCCGCTGAAAGCTAACCGGTTAGGCCCATGGCCTATGCCGACCCCTCCCCCCCCACTGGCTGCTAGCTACTAGCTAGTAGCCACTATGCTATCCTCTCCATTCCGAATGGTGAGAGTGAGGTGATAAGATAAAAGAGCTGATATCTTTCATGATAGCGACGAGTGGAAAATTCGTACAAACATATGTGAAGGTCGGTATAAAGTACTATTCAGGGCATTTCGGACTGTTTTTCTATCTACTTCTTTTCCCCCACTTATCAGTCACCTAGCACTTTCTCATTCGTATGTACCCGCGATCTGTAGTCGCGGGCATTGCCTTTAATTGCAGTGGTCTTGTGCTCAGTTTTGGAATGAAATAGGGGTGAAGTTATCATTGTAGTTTGGCACGATATTCAAAAGAAATGAGTGCCACGAAACAGAGGCAGTGTCAGCACATCTTAGCTTAGTGCAGTGAGAGCGATACTTGGGGGCAGGGCACGCCATCGTTGTGATGATCACAACGGGGAATCGTATCTGACCGCTAGGGGAGTCGTATCTGGTCTTGGGAGAGAGACTGCCAAAGATGTATACGACCACTATTCCGATAGTTGGAAATGATAATTAAATCCTGGCGATCTCCCCTCCCCCTCCCCCTCTCTCGACAGTAATATTTTCGGGAAAGTAAGAAGTTTTTCGGGAAGTTCCGGAAAAACTGGTACGAGGTTAGGGAAAATCTGAGGAAACTTTCTTGTTTTACTTTGGGTAAAACGGGAAATTTTTCGAGAAAAAATGGAACGAGAAAAAATGGAAAAAGTGGTAGGAAGTTGGGAAAATCTAGGAAAGTGGTAGGTAGCATGGGGGGGGCGTATTTGAGGATGGAAATTAGGGATTCGTATTTTTCGGAAAATGATCACATTGCGATGGCGTGCCCTAGTGGGGCCGGCGGTTCCTGTCAACGTCATTGGTGAAAAGGCGGAGTGTGTGTTGTCATACGTGATTTTTGATATTTGCGGTCGGAGGGCTTGGTTCGAACCTTATACAGGCGGTCTCCCAGGCCATAGAGCTCTTTTCCAGAACTTCGTTGCATGATGTGGAGGTTCAGGCGCATACCACAAAAGTGTATTTCATTTTTGCTGCGAGATTTTATTGAGTCTAAAGAAAGGGAAGAGAGTGGGCTGATGTTTCGGAACTCCTGGGTGACAAAGGGTTTGCATTTCCACAATTTTCATTTTCTTCATATAAGTTGGAACTTTTTGTCTGGAGAAAACTTCATATAAGTTGGAACTTTCTGTCTGAAGAAAACTATGTTCACAAAAAACACAGTCTGCCATATAAGTTGGAACTTTCTGTCTGAAGAAAACTATGTTCACAAAAAACACAGTCTCTGCCCAATAGCAGGAGAGCTCACTGTCGCAAGATTCGTCGTGTTTTTGGCATTTTATCGCCGCTTCTTGGCACTCGTAAAATCGCGCAGCGGGCTTTTGTGACCTCTACATGAACCCTACAACAGCAGCACGCTCCGAAAAAGAGCTCCACGGCCTGAAAGGCCTCCCTTGTAAGAGGCACATTTTCTCCGAAGCTCGAGAAGGCTGGGAAAGGTTCTCAGAAAAATCTGGCCCGGGTTTCATGGTTGGGCTACAAGAGATAAATAGTGCCAGTTTGTTAACTAGATAGGTTCTGGTTCTCGATGATGTTTCTCTGTAAGTAAGTGAAAAGTTATTGAGTTGTGTTGCTCACTGTCGGATCATTTCAGGCGAGGTGCGGAGTTGGCTCGTTGGGAGAGAGCAGTCGACTTCATAAACGCCAATGAATCCCGTATATCTACCGAGACGCGAGTACTTCGTGGTGGGCAGGAATGCGATGTGTGGCGTTGGATCCCGGCGAAACGTACCGGCTGGCAGGGCTCGGGTAGGCTCTAGACTATGCATGCTACAGTCAAAGAACATTGCTGGAAGGGTCATTCGAAGCTTACACTGTCAATTTCAATTTTCGGTGAATTTGTTGAGGTCAATGTTAAAGAAGGGATCTCGTACTTGAGATAGCACAGGCTCACTTTGGGAACGTTTTTGTCATTAATACTTTTATAGTTGTTCTTGTTGTATTTTGTTATTATTGTGATTAATTTAAAAACACACCTCGCGGTCTGCACTCTCATAATTTCACGGATTTCACGTTTGTTCGATTATTTTATTTCATCATTGCATTTATCTATTTTGTAATAGTTACAGGAATTTGACATTTGTTACTCAATTTGAATGGTTTACTAACTACTTCCCTTGTTCAGCAAATAGTTTGATATTCTTAACATTTGGGGCTGTTTTTTCAGTTCTTATTGTATGGTTCTTGCAGATGCGACTAAACACGTTCACCATTCACCGTTACTTTTTTGATGTTGAAATAAATCTGTTCACGACAGCTTTTCAAAAATTGAATCGTTTCCAAAGTGAACTCTAGCATAATCTCGATAACTATGGGCGCTGATAATTCGGCAAGGGTTTAGGCGCCGTGGAAGTCAACTGACTATTAGGGTCAGGATTAGTAAGGCTTATGTGAATTTCCCGCCTAGAAGAAAAGAGTCAAATTAAATCCTCTTCTGCAAAATATTCTACTGAGATTTTTTCGCTACTGTGCATTATGTTTGCGAAAATTCCAGCGTTCGCACCTCCTCCGGGTATGAGCATGCCGACGTCATCGAAAGTATTGTCACCGAACATCCCAGTCGAGGCTCTCACTCGTTGCTTAAAGATCAGAGATATGTTTGGCAAAGAGGATGTTGACGAGGAGGAGTGAGTTTAGAAAATAATTTCTCAAATGAAGAGTTAATTTGACTGCGTACGTAAACTCGTTTTGCGTGCTTAAATACACGCCCGCGTACGTACATTTGATGCTCAGGCGCCATTGGTCACAGTAGTCCTGCTTGCAAGCAAGGGATGAGCTATTCTCGCAGCTCTAAAATACGCTAGGAAAGCGCTGCCCGCTAGTCACAGAACCACGGCTCCGCCCGCTGGCCACGGCGACGCCCAACTTTCACTTTTAACTACTGTTTGATGATGCGGTTGTTCCGCCGCTAACTCTCCATTTCTAACGGTGAGAGTGAGCTGATAAGGAGAAAGAGCGCACAGCAACAAGTGAGAACTCGTCCTGACCATGCCTTCTCTTCGCCTTAGGCATGTACAGGCGCTTTTTTTAGCATGGGGTCCTATAAGGGGCATCTCGGGTGGATTTTAGTGTTTTTTTTTCTCATTGCTGTGGTAACTATAATCTTGCATTATGTTGTACCAGCACAAAACACTATTTATGAACACGGGGAGTGCCTTAAAGGTGCGTTGCCCACTGTTCTCCTGATAGGTTAAAGTGAAGAGGAAGAATAAAAGATATTCTCGCCAAAGAAAGCGAAACGGAAGCGATAAAATATAAGAGATTTTTGTATGGTGCATCAGGAAAAGAGGATTTGCGAAAAGGCGTGAATGCGTAGTCGAAGAGTTGATTTTTGGTAAGGTTTTGGACCCTTTCACTACTAAGACTCCAAAAACTCTGAGAATTTTTTTGCTGAATTTTTTCCTGTAGAAGATATTTGTGTCTTATCACGAATCTAATGTGTTTGGGGTAGTCGAGGGTTCTGATCACAAACATGATCTTCATTATCAGCGGTGAGCCCATTTGGCGCCAGTTGGTTGACACAACCCTTTCCACCAAAGATTGTAACCTTGCATACTAGGGTTATTTGGGATCTGGTTACGAATATGACCTTGTTTTTCGACTCCAACGCAAATATGGGGCACTCTGATCATCCGCGCTCTGCTAAGGCTGGGGGCCTCGTGAGGAGGAAATTACTCCTCTAACCAGGCGCAGCCTTAGCAGAGCGCTCAATAGCGCTGCTGTTGAAAACCTAATATGATAAGGACATCAATTTGTAATAAGGCCATCAAATAAACCGCTATGCAGGTTTTCATCAGTTTTTATCTGAAAGGTGATGGCGTCAAGTATCAGCGAAAATGATTTTTTTGTTTCTGGAGTTGTAGTAGTGCAATTCAGTCCATAGTGCAGGCAATTCAAAATATTTAAACTCACATGTTTCTTTTTTTTGAAAGATGCTTCATGTATACGTACACTCCTTATAGATGGAGTGGGCATGGCTGCGTGCGTAATTTTTACATGGCGCAGGATGTGTTCGCATGGTGTCGTGGGCCGCTTCCTTTCCCCCTACTGCCTGGCGTCTTCACCAGGTCGTCAGGCCCCTCTGACCTAGCATCGGTGTCTGGAGGGGGATGGATCCGCGCCCGGCGCGGGTACGTGCAGGGGACTTACGGCGCTTGCCTATGCTCGTCACGGTGTTGCCACGCGGGTGCTGACTTAGCTATTCGCAACCGGTAGGCTGCCCCTACATTGTGTGCACACTGCGGTCATGTACTCGCAATTGACCCTCTTACCTACGCCCTGTCTACGCGCCCAACCTGAGTACCTGCTCCTTTGGACCTCCAGACTACTATGCCGTACACATACGTTCAACCAACAACCAGCATATCAATCGATAAATGTGATAGATAAAAGGTTCAAGAAATGACGTGGTCAGACCACTTTTGATAAACAACGAACACGAGAATCTTAGACTGATTTACCTCTCTATTATGATAACTGCAAAACAATAATAAGAAAATAAACTACTACAAGAATAATGGTACGGCCCTAACCTACGCGGACGAACCCTGCCTCAACTGCCTACGGGCCACGAGGGAACAGCCCACTAGGGGCATCGGGAACATCCTCCCCTCCGGCTGCCCAGGAGGTTCGGATGCACCTCCGCCTCTAGTGGTTACCTGGGATAGTCGGCGGCCTGTAGTAGTGCGGCTCCATTGCGTGGTACTGCTCGTTGATGTTAGACTGCGACCAGCATAGATAGACGATGACGTTGACACTGGGAGTAGAGCGGAGCGGAGCGACCAGTCGAGACGGCTGCAGGACGTAGAAGTGACAGACAGGCCAGAGTCGACGCCGACTCTGCATCCCTAGCGGCTTCCGAACATTCGACCGTTCCGCCAAGCGCGCCAGGACCGCCGCGCCCAACCATAAACGCGACCCTTTAAAAAGAGTCGTACGAAAGTCACGACACATGGAATGATTGCCATTCGGGACAGCTCTCAATCTGGGCTGGAAAAAGACAGCTGTACCGGAACGGAAAGAAGCGCAAGCTCCGGTGAGGATCAAATAAACGCAGCCGCACCCTCTCAGCCTTCGGGATATCAAGTGTACCTGACTAAATTGATCCTCTCTAGAACGCTGCTCGCTTGTTCTCATGTACGCTTGAATGCAGGGAACAGTGGCACAGAGATGACGCTATTTACAGTCGCGATCCCTCAGACGAGGTAGGCGTAATTGCGTACTTCACTGGGACGCGACGGCGGCTGCAATAGGGGTGGCGGCCGATGCTGCATGGGGCAGCAACCACCGTGCTCTTTGCTCTCTGCGCCCCCTCTCCGCGAAACCGTGCCTCTCTGCGCACTCTTCTTCTCTGGGCTCTGCCCGCAATAGCCGCTCCGTGTACAAACTCACCCGTGCGCGTATGCGGCGCGGTTTCTTCACGGCACCGCGGCGACGGGCGGGCGAAGGGTGATCGCTTGCGCCTCCGCCACTGTGCTTCAATCAGAAGCCCCTTTTATGCCCCATTATGTGGAAGGAGGAGGAGAGAAAAGAGGATTGAACAAATAGTGAACGCTCATAGGTGAGTTAGTGGTAATGGTGAGCAGAGAATACAGAAAAGTCGAGAATCAGAGCGTATTATTTCAGTCAACAGCGGAACTGGCAGAATGATTCCCTTCGAATGGGACGTGACGTTATAGCGTTATAAGGTCACAACCAACTGTTGGCAATTTGCCAAACCTCAGCTTGAACTTTCGTGTAAAAGCTGCTTGCGTCGTTTTCACAATCGAAGGGAACTATGCCGCCAGTTCTGCCATTCACTGAAGTAATTCGTGATAGTCGACTTTTCTGTGATCTCACTACCACTAACTCACATATGCATCCACTATCTGTTCAATTCCCTTCCTCTCTCTACTTTTCCCTCCTCTTCCTTCCACATAAAAGAGGCTGCTGGATTGGAGCGCCGGAGACGCGGGCCATCCTTCACGGCGCCGCCCTGCCGCCGCGGCGCCGTGAAGGAACCGCGCCGCATACGCGCATGGGTGAGTTTTTCCCTCCTCCCGCAATAGCCGGCTGCACCGCGCAGTCAGCTGATTTCAGCGATTAATTTTTCTATTTTGCCTGTTATTCTGCTAACTAGAAGGAAAAGTGAGTTCATATTATTTACTCTAATTTAAGGTTTTATTGTATATTTTGCTTTCAGTCGCTATTTGACTGCAGTGACGGTGTTTTTACCCACTTTTTGATTTTGTTTAGGTTTTCTTTGTTTGTGAATGTTGGACTGCTCTCCATGGCAGTGTCGTTATGTGTCCTCATTAGTGCCAAGGACACTCTCTGACACTGTTTTGGTAGATGCGGTCTTTCCGAAGAAAGAATGAAAAACGAGCAAACTCACAGGGTGACAGAAATTACGGGCAGCGGCAAAAAAATCGATAAAGTGGCATTTCAGAAAGACCGCATCTACCAAAACAGTGTCAGAGAGTGTCCTTGGCACTGATCACGACACTGCCATGGAGAGCAGGTCCAACATTCAAAGTACAAACAAAGAAAACCTAAACAAAATCAAAAAGTGGGTAAAAACACCGTCACTGCAGTCAAATAGCGACTGAAAGCAAAATATACAATAAAACCTTAAATTAGAGTAAATAATATGAACTCACTTTTCCTTTTTTCTAGTTAGCAGAATAACAGGCAAAATAGAAAAATAAATCGCTGAAATCAGCTGACTGCGCGGTGCAGCCGGCTATTGCGGGCAGAGCCCAGAGAAGAAGAGTGCGCAGAGAGGCACGGTTTCGCGGAGAGGGGGCGCAGAGAGCAAAGAGCACGGTGGTTGCTGCCCCCAGCATCGGCCGCCACCCCTATTGCAGCCGCCGTCGCGTCCCAGTGAAGTACGCAATTACGCCTACCTCGTCTGAGGGATCGCGACTGTTTATGAGCCAAGGCGTGCTAATTGATATGCATGTAGAGAAAGCAGTAGAAGAAACTGTCAAGAACGCTTAAAATAAGGCTTTCTAATAACTCGGATGTTGTGGGAGTTTGCGTCGCATCGGGGGAAGTTTAGTCAAGGCTTGTTAACGAATGAACAACGGTGTTATGATGAGATTGATGCTGGCAGTGTCTTCTACTCCAGTGGCTTGTAGCAAAGCTTTTAGATTAGGAGAGACGAGCTGTTTCAACGGTATCGTAAATTTCCGCTTACTGTGTGCGGCAAACAGAGAAATCATGCGAACTGGATCGAGAAACGCACTTGGAGCAAGACACGTTGCGACCTCCTCCAATTTCTCCCTGCTGCGACCTGCTCCCCTTCCCCATCCTCCAACTTTTCCTAGTCTCCTCTACATTTTCCGAGTTTTCACGACAACGGGAAAACCCGTGGAAAGTCAACAGCCAGAAAATTTTTTTTGTAATGCGGCGAATTTCTCTCAAAGGCGAATACCACCCGTCCCCCTCTCCCAGCAACGCGAAAATATGACGCCTCTCATTGTTTTTTCAACATTGCGAATTAGCGCCCGTGAACTAGAACAAAAATCAGCTATCAAAAAAATTTTCTGAGACTACATGATTCCCCGCGTAGGACGTGTCCCGATCTCAAGATTGGAACCGACGTTCTGGGTTGAGACCTCCTGCTTTTCTATTCTTTCATGAGCCCTTAA